TACTGATACCGTCAGAGAGATTGAAAGCTGCAGGTTGAAAGTTATTGCAGTTGTTTTGCTCCTCGTAGTCCGAGTGGTGATAATTATGACCCCAGAGTGTTGAAATTTGACCCAGCCTGGTAACCCTTACGATAGCTGCCTCCCTTTCTACTATCAAATTTAGGGGAGGAATTTCCTGCTAGTTGTTGTAGGGCTAGTGTTGACGTGGTACGGTAGGCCCTGCATACTTGAAGTAGCTGCTGTCTCTGAATAGAGAGCAGGGATCTTTTCATATGAGAGGTAAGTTCGCCACCCCAGATTGCTGCTCCATAAGTTATTACTCTTTCTGTAATGGTTCTATGCCAAATTTTTAGTAGCTTAGATGAGATACCCCATTTATGTGAAGTCATGCGTCTCATGTTGTTGCTTAGGATGCTAATTCCGAGTCTTAAGATTCCTGACATGTGGCATCCAAGAAAGTCTGTTGTCGAGTAATAGCCCAAGATATTTCAATTGGAGGAAACATTTTACCGGTATCCCATGGAGTTTAATGCTTGGGTTGCGTCTTAGCTGCCTGCTGCGTCCTATGAGCAAAGTTTTAGTTTTCTCTGCCGAAATCTGAAGCTTATGTGCTCTGGCCCATTGGGAGAACAGATCAAGACAGTATTGAGATCTCATTTCGAGGTTACTCCTTCCTGCCACAACTAGCATAAAATCATCCGCATAGGCTATGATTCGAGCGTATTCTACGCTCTCAAACTGACGAAATGCCGAGTTTGCCACTATATTCCACAGTGTTGGTCCAAGGCATGACCCCTGTGGGCATCCTCTAGGAACTAATAAATAAAATCGTTACAGTAGTGATGTACAGGTTTGCCAATTTCTTCATTGGCAAAACAAAAATACCTTGGCAAGAAAGCAATCACTCAACAGGCTAAAAATTGGAACTAAAGATGGAATTTTAAAACCAAAAAAGCTTTTTAATACTTCCTATGGAAATTTTAATTTTGACAAAGAAATAGATACTAAATTAAAATGAAATTTAAGTAAATTGTGACTCTTTTTTTAAAAAATGTGCATAAAGACTATCATTCAGTGTAAAACTTTAATTAAATTTTTAAAATCAATTATTATTTAAAAAAAAGTAAACCGAAAAAGGTGCCCCAAAAGTGGTAAAAATGTTTTTAATAATTGTTTTGTAGATATGAGTAGAAAATCCATAAAGTTGAATTTTAGGTTTTTTTATTTAAAATTACAGAAAAAGGTAAAAGAAAGCTTGAAAAAGGAAGTATAGGAACTAGTGTCAAAAAAGAAAAATGTCTTCACGTCATGGGCTTATCATGACAACTTTGAATATACTAGAAGGACCTTGTTTAATAACAGAATAGTAATCAAGAGAAAAATAATAATAAAAAAAATTAAAATAAACAAATAAAAAATAAAATCCTATAAACCCTTTAAAAGAGCCTTCTTTATCCGTCTCTTTTGGAACATTCAAATAAAAAATTCATACTTTTAAAAAGTATTATAGGATGTAGACACCAGACTTTTTAAAAAGCCTTTTAATGAATTTTAAAGGAATTTTTTCTTTTAAGATTTTGGTGAGAATTAGAATTTCTTCTTTTTGTGTTTTTATTTCAGTGCAAACTTCTTTAATTCTGCTAATTTAGTTAAAAATAGTATTTGCAATAACTTTTCTAGATATGTTGGAGTTCCAATTTATAAGTTTATTAGTAGAAAAATTAAAATCTTTTCTTTTAACGAAAAGTTTAATTTCTGTTAGATTGTTAATACTGGATCAAGATAAACTATTTCTGTTTGGTTTTTGTTGGCCTTAAGTTTTAAACAATTTGGGGAGATGTTGATTTTTTTTTTTTTTTTTTGATGAGATTATAATTGTTGAAAGTAATAACGTCATCACTATATCTATAAGTGTGTTCAAATTTATTGAAATCGTTATCAGAAAGGCTCTTTAGGAATTTGAATTCTTTAGAAATAAGTTACAAAGATGAGTGGAATATGACCTTCCCATTGGAATTCCTTGCTTTGCAGGCAAAGAAATTTTTAATGTTTAATACAGTTATTGTAAAGCGAAACATGTAGAAATTCTTTCCATTTTTGTAAATCCAGAATATGAAGTATTTCAGGAAAAATTTCTGTCACTTCTAAAAGAATTTCATAGATTTCTTTAAGTGGCAGAGACATGTAGAGGTTTTCAAAAGCAGTTACTATTGTAAATTTTGAGATTTGTAACTTCCTCAATGATTTTCAAGTTGTCATTAATAATCCAGCAGAAGTTATTGTCGGCTTTAACTTGTTCAAAAACTATATTACAAATAGTTTTTAAGTATATTGGTAAAAATATTAACAAAATTATTCTTGAAGTTTCTGGTTCTTTGCTATAAATCTAAATTTGACAGTATTTTAATGAAATTTTGGTAAGACATATAAAGGTTAGAAAATTTCTTATTTGTAGTGAAAAGAGAAATTCTCCATTTTTTGTGAAAAGCAGAAATTCTGTTAATAACAGTTCTTTCTTTATTTTTGCAGGTACAAGAATTTTTCAGTTCATTTTCAATTATTTAAAAAAATGTTTTGTAATTATATATATGTGTGTGTTCATTAATTATTTTGTGAGTTTTAAATAAAAGCTTACTTCTTAAAAACTTTATTTTTTTATTATTATTTCCTAAGTTTTGTTAATTCAATGGTATTAATGGACTATGAAATGAAGCAAAACAAATTAGATCAAAAGTAAGTTTAACTGCATTAAAAGTTGGTCCACTTAGGAATAACAGATAAATTAACACAAACTAAATTGTTGTTAGGATTAATAAGGGTTAAATTTATCAGAAATGGGCACAATTATCTGCTTAAAAATAAGGCCTCTATATACAAGTAGTAGTAGAAGTAGTATATAGTAATAATTTGAGTATACGGGCCCAAAGGCCAAAAATGTAAGCCACAAAATCTGAAATATTCTGAAGCAGTAACAGCAATAAAGTAAAGAGTAAATAACAAGTCCCAGAACAAAAGTAAAATTTCAGGTAAATCATAGGGAGGAACTCCTTTAATGATACAAAACACCATAAATAAACTGATACACTACAGTTCTAATTCAATACTTTTCTGTAACATATTGCTGGCTGCCGTATGAATGGGCTCAAGTTCAAATCTTGAGAAAACTTGGATGTTTGTAAATGTATACTGTCTTTGCATCAAATGGGCAGTTAAAATACAGGCTAGCCAAAAGTCTTCTCAAGTAAGTTTCTCAAGAGGGGTGGAAGACCCTTGGACCTGTCCTCGCAGATTTCCCATCAATATTAGGGCAGAAATAGGCAATCTCTCAGATGATTGCTGGAAATTTAGCATTGTGGCTGGTCATCCTAGATAGGTTTCACTGCAGTTGTTTAAAAATCAATGAGTTTCACATTTTGATCTATGAAAATTTACATGGTAGAAATCTGTTATCAAATTTTATATTAAATTAAAACATCTTTCATGGAAACATGTATAAGAAGGCTAAAAAAAACCTATTTCAACTTTTAGTTCATAAAATACTATCCCAGACTTGTACTTAATGATTACAAAATTTCTTAAAATATGGCAGGAAATTTTATAAAAACAATTTCAACATTGCAGACATGAATGTTCTGAAAATATAAAATCTCTTTATATGGTCTCTATAGCACAAAAATTGCAATTAGTTAAGTACTTAATACACCACAATTAGAGAAAACAAAGATTAACATGTCTCAATGTGCAAAATATGCAGATATTCAAAAATGAATCAACTTTTATAATTTTCACATTCTCTCATTGACTTCAATTCAACTTTTGGATCATTTCTTCATCAAAATACTTATTGGTACTAAAGTACAATAAGTATTTCATAAAGTGTACTTTATCTTCTGAAAGCATTAGGATACCAGCAAAATCTGCAGAGACATTGGAGTTTTTTAATTAAACTAATTAAATCACAATGAATGTTTTACTATATGGAGTTTCCTTTACCAATATTACATAATATTTTACTTCTACAACAGAATTACAACTTCAACAGAATTTTGAAATATTTCTTAAATGATCAATTCTTAAAACAAAAACATAAAATAACAGGCAAATAGATAAATGACATAAATTGACTCAAACACTGAGAAAATAGTACCTATAAAGTAATCAAACTATTTCTATCAACTAGATTTATCATACATTGCATCAACATGCAAGCAATACATATATTTAAAAAAAAAAAAAAAAGAAAAGAAAAGAAAAGAAATTAAGCCATTTAAAAGTTTCCAGTGTTAAAAAAGTGTTGTGAAACTGACATAAACTTGCATTAAAAAGTATGTAAATGTCAACACAAACTGTGCCACATTTGGCACTGTGACACCATTTTGGAATTTTTGAAAAATCTATTTTTTTTCAAAAAATTTCCTTTGGGTGATCAAAAATTTCATATTTAGTAATTTTTATTTACTATTTATGTGGAATTAACAATTAATCATAATTAATATTTTTAATGTATAAAATCAGCTACATTTTTTAAAACCAGATAGCAGATGACCAAGAATAACAGATAATCTTTATTTGAAGAGATGGATTCATGGAAGCTAAGTTCCAATTTATGTTGGACATATGCAAAATAATGATGATATTTTCTTCATCTACTTATGCCAAGAGATAGACAAGAAATATTGGATAGGCTGCACGGAAGGAGAATGTACATTCATAGAATCTGTTCCATTAGAAAATCAAACATCAAACAAAATTACTAATGTACAGTAGATATAATATTTCAATTAGTGTTAGGAAACAGCATTTAATAAATGCAGAAAACTGGTTCTGTAAGGGCACACTAAATAACTTCATATCCCTTTCAAAAATTCCAGAATATATATAAATGAAAATTTTAAAATGATATAAAATTATTTGACATAGAAATTTTAACGTAAACATAAATAAATGTCTTAAACAATTATATTCAAAAATTTATAATGAACAATATGAATAAGTCAAACCTTTTGCTAATTTGAACATCATGTTCTTCACTTCTTTACTAATTGTTGAATTCCAGGATCTCTGCATTATGTCTAGTCTATGATCTATTTCCTTCATGGTCTGCAAAGAAAAATCTACATAAATTTAGATTTAAACGGGCAGTGTTCTAAATTTTGAAATATCATACTTGTTAACATTGGACATATATAAAAACAGGGGGTTCTCATATGAAAACTGCGTGGTTTTCTTGCTATGCAATGATGCCATTTTAATATAATTCTACATTAATTTAAATTCACTTTATGATGCTCATTTCAGGTAACTGAACTATTTATAACATGATTAACTTATTTTACTCTATAACTGTCTTACATTTTTATGCAGAGAAAATCCTAAGTATGAAGAGAAAGTTTTTATTTTAAAAGCATTTTTAAATACAATGAAATTAAAACTAATAATTAATGTACAAACTATTGTATGGATAAATGTAGCAATGTACCATATATAACAAAAATAAATACAAATGCTAACTTATTAAACCTTGCTTAAGTTTTCATTAAAAGTTTTACAAATGTCTACATTAGATCAAGATAATTCAGATGAAATAAAATTTAATAAAAATAGATTACACTGAAAACACCTAGCACAGGGAAACAAAATTTGAATAATGTAAGTTTCATTATTCAACAAATTTATTTCTATAAAACATTTTCCTCACTTAAAGTTAAAAATTAAAAACTCGGAAATTCGGTTATCTACTGAGATGATCTGCTGTAGTAAAGGTGAAAATCAGGAAGCCTCCTAGTAAACATGGGAGAGTTGGCAGCTATGGAAATACGTTTATGTACACCAAACCGAAATCATATGAACAGCTGCAGAGAATTATTCACCCATGGCTAATTATGGGAACTGAAATAGTAGTTATCTGATATACACTGGCAAAGTATAACATAAGGCATGTCAACCTTCAAACATGAATAAGTACACTGTCTACTGTATAGCACTGCTATTGTGTCTGTCATTACACTATGTGCACAAGAGATGGAACATAGTTCCATGCATTACTAAGGTAAAAGTATTAATGTCAAACGAGCAGAACTAGACACAGATTCAGTCTAATTCTGTTTATTGACATTTATATCAGCAAAAACAAGCTAACTGAGCAAATTCTAAGATGGTTTGCTAATCCAGAGACTGTGAAAGAAACATGCAAAGTCAAAAAGCATAAATTCGATTAGGTTATTTGAACACGACAAATAACATGAGAGCTATCGAGCTAAGGGATGCATTCATAGAGGACTTTTAAATGGAAATTGCTTCGTATTTATATTACACATGAGGAAAAACTAGAAAAACAAACATTAAGCAAAAGCTTAGGTCATCAAGGAAAGCTGACACTACAAAAAGGTATTTAAGGACTCAAGGATACATAGGAACACACCACAAAACTGTCCATTGCCAGTTTTACCACACAATATATAAGCTAAATTAAGACCGAGAGAAGAAATGGGGGGGGAGTATAAATATATATGGGGACATTAAAATCATTTAAATGCTTTAAATGCCTCCAAAAGTCTTAAGCCAGCTCATTCAGCCAGCAAAAGTCCTTGAGCCAGCTCATTCACCTCCGTTTGAAATATTGCTGAGTGCTCTTAATCAGTCACCACTGGTGGGGATTCCATAATAAGGAAAAAATTCATTAAATGTTGAAGAAGCATAAAATAATATATGTGAAGAAATATGCCTACAAACAGCAACCTTTTTTTAAACCGAAAAATGCACAAATGTGAGAAAAGATATAAATTAATATAATTCTTTAATAAAATATAACATTTCAAATCAACTAATTTACCAAAAAAACGAACTATGAGGAGAAATCTCAAAAAAGCACTAATACAGGACTATATTGATTGACACAAAGCTGTAAATACTATTTGAGATAAGTCTACATTGCAGCATTTCTCTGGTGATGCACCAGCAAAAATTTACCAATAACGTGTTTACCAGTACTATTAATTTAGCTATTCAGAAAAATTAAAATTTGAGAAAGTGAATTCCTTGGATTACTCAGTTTTAATGAACACTGATACTCACATACTTTCTCATCAACCATTTTCAACCAATAAAAAATGTCACTATACAGTGTGATTTAGAACCAATTATGGATAAGTATGATGTCACAACATACTCATAAGAACACTGTCTTGGTTTTATGTAACTCCAATTAATCTTCAATAAGCCAGTTTACTTTTAGTAAAGGAGAATAAAAGCTAACATTTTTTTTTCTTTTTTTCATTATGGAAAATAACAATGAAATTTGGAATCTATTTTCTATGGATTCTATGGGTTCTTTTCTATTTCTATGGATTTATTTTCAAAGTTATGGGATTCTTCAAAAAAAAAAAAAAAAAAAAAAAAATTAATCAGCATGATAGGAGACTTTATTTGAAAATGCATAACTGATGCAAGTTTGAATTCATATTTTTAAAAGCTTTTTAAAGCCTATATCCATAACTTGTATTTGTTCATTACCCAGATACGTAGGTTGATTAAAAAAAAAAAAGTTTACAAGCAGAAGCATTTGAAACGTAATAATTGTGGAGCGAATATTTCCACTCAGGTGATTGACAGATGGCGCTATTTGTCCTACAGCGGTTCTACGAGTAAGTAGCGTCAGTACGCAGACACTTATGAGTGGCAGTAATGGCACGACATCTAGAAAAGTGGTCTCGCGTAGAGGTATGAGCTGTAATTCGATTTTCATGGGCCAAGAATGTGGCTGCATCCGAAATTCACAGACAAATCATTGAGGTATACGGGGACAAAGCAATGAGTAGACAACAGGTAGCGAAATGGTGTCGTTCTTATCAAGCGGGCAGGGAGCATGTGGGAAAACCGCTATATGGAAGCGAGCGGCCGTCCAAGTTCTTCAAGGACGGATATCAACACGCCACGTGTTGAAGAAATCATCCAAAGGGATCGACGAGTAACCGTGCATGAGATTGCCTCAGAGTTGGACCTGAGTTATGGTAACGTTCAGCATATCGTAACCGATGAGTTGCGATATTCCAAAGTTTGTGCCCGCTGGGTTCCACGTGCATTTTGCGCAGAGCATAAGGCCACTCGAATGATGTGCAGCCTCACATTTCTTCAGCGATACCATTCAGACGGCCAACACTTCATTGATCACATCGTTACCGGTGATGAAACATGGCTTCATCACTTCACCCCCACATCCAAAAGAGCCACGATGGAGTGGAAACGCGCTGGATCACCGACGAGGAAGAAGTTTAAGGTCAGACACTCTGCCGATAAAGTGATGGTAACCGTTTTCTGGGATACGACTAGTGTTATCCTAATCGAGCATTTGGTGCGTGTCCATACCATTAAGGTCAATCGTTATTGTGCCATCTTAATGAAATTGCGTAAAGCCATCCGACGCAAACGGCCTGGATTACTGAGCAAAGGCATCATTCTTCTGCATGACAATGCCAGGCCCCATACAGCTCGCCAAACTCAGGAATTGCTGCAAAGTTTCAAGTGGGAGGTCTGGAATCACCCCCATACAGCCCCGATTTGGCTCCAAGTGACTATTTCATTTTTCCGGTATTGAAGCGATACTTATCCGGAACGCGGTTCACCTCAGACGATGCAGTGAAAACAGCTGCCGAGAAATGGCTCAATGAGCAGGGTTCTGATTACTACCAAGACGAGATAAACAAGTTGGTCGAACGTTCTGACAAATGCCTAAACAGGTTTGGCGACTATATGGAAAAGTGAAGGCCAGATGTGTCTCTTGATTCCCATTTGTATCTTGTTAATAAATACTTTTTCATTTGCCTTGTAAACTTTTTTTTGGATCACCCCTCGTATATAAAGTTCGTTTATATAGGGTGCAGCAGCGTTCATAGTAGGATATTAAAAGCACACCATAAGGCAGTAACTGTAATTTATTTATTACCTCTTATGTTAATTAATAGTTAAAGCTTTGTCATTTACTAATGTGTAAGTCATTGTCCATTGCGTGAATGAATTTTTGAATATGATGCTCCCTCTGGACAACTCATTCATCTAGGCGGCGTTGGAAGCTTGCCATAACTTGGCTTAACGAATTCCCTGGGACATTGCCGACGGCAGTTCGGATGCGATCTTTCAACTCAGGAATGGTCGCACAACGTGTTCGGAAAACTTCTTGCTTCAGGTTCCCCCAAAGTCGGCACATGAAAGATCAGGTGAGCGAGGCGGCCAGGAAGTGTCACCAAAACGGGAAATTACCTGGAAATGTCTGTCGCAATGGTCCGTCCAGCTGGAACTTTAACATGACGTCCCAAGTTAAAATGTTGCCGAAATAGACGCTGGGTAGCAATAACAGAGTAGTTATTCTTGAAATAACTTTCAACAGCAAAGGCACGATGCTGTGCGCTCCAACGATCCATATCACTGTCACACTCAAAATGGCAGCTCATTAGTACACAAATGCGGCACGAGATGGCGCGCATTCATGCAGTACATCATTGTGCTACGCAAGTCAAATTATGCTATGAAAGCTGCCGCACCCTATATTTCCACTAAAATGATAAGTACAACTTTGGAAGAATCTGCCAACTTTTGTGGTCAACAGAAAACAACCTAAGTACCATAAAGTTAAAAATTAATTAAACCTTAGTGTCATGCAGATAAAAACTAAGTCATATATAGATGAAAACAACATTTGTAAGCTGGTATCCTTGGGGGGGGCAGCTTGAAATTTATAGTAACTTTTGAGAATTCCAACAAATGCATTCAACAAACAAATTCTACATAAACATATGATATGTATGGGCTTATTAGGATTTAAAATTTTAATTAAATGTATATACCGAGAGATATTAAACTTCCTCTATAAACGGCATTCTACAGTGCAAATGGGTGAAAGGAATGCAACAAAATTTTGTATATGGGCTATACATAAGATGTGCTCACAGGATTTTGAAAAAAAAAAGTTCCAAATTGTCCACCAGAGGGCGCCTTTTCGGGGGAAAACATGAAATTTAACACAATAATTTACCAAAGCAGAATACAGAAACAATATTAACAATCCAGAACAAGAATTATGAGTAATAAAATGCAAAACCATGAAAAGCTGTCAGTTGTAGGAGAAAAATGTCGAGATTTGCATGCTTGGTAAGAGACAAAACTTTGTGCAAACCAGGTTAGGGTATAAAACGTTTGCAGACATTGGCATGTTTAAGTCGATGTTTCCAGCTGTACTAATGACGGTCTTTTTAGTTGAACGTGCGTTATTGGTGAAGCTGTTTTACAAAAACAAGAAGAATGCTTCTGCTGCAGTTCGTGAATTTCGTCGTATAAAGAACCTACACACAGACATCAGAGTTTGGGGGCAGTAGCGAGCGTGCAGTTTCTTGACAGACAGGCTATCCTTGCAGCACCGTCCAAAAGGTACTCAGACACATTTGGGATAAGGAAAATCCGCGGTTCCACACAAAAATTTCCCTACAGTCTTCAAAGGTCACTGTCTGGTGTGGATTCATGGCAACATTCAGCCTTGGGCCATTCTTCTTTGAGGAAATTGGTGAACGTAGGCCAGTCACATGTTCTGTTAAGGGCCGTCAGTACCATGACATACTGCAGACGTTTGTTGTGCCGCAACTACAGGAAAGGCGGGCTATTGCCCTAGCACTTCATAGAGGACCATATTATTAGTCGCTCCTTTCCTAATCCACGGCCACCACGTTCGCCGGATCTAACTCCGTGCGATTTCTGGTTATGTGGCTATTTAAAAAAAAATAGTGTATTGTGGAGGTGTTGCGACATTGAATGACTTAAAAAACACCATAACGCTTCATGTGCGAATCCTCACAACTCATTGATCACAACTGATCAGTTATGATCTGCTGTTGAACACGCTGTCCATCGACTTGAAATTTTGCAGGTGAATGAGGGTGGTCACATGGAACATCCCCTACATCATCCTACACACGATTAACAACTGCTCCTCTAGTGCAGTTTCATCTTAATCTGTTCTTGTTTCTGCAAACTGAACTGTTTTCGCTTCTCCCTTACCTTTGCTTGATGACAAGGTGAAACTAGTCAATAAATGTAAATATTGTTTCTGCATTCTGTTTTGCTCGTTTATTGTGTTAAATTTCATGTTTTTCCCGAAAAGGAGCCCTCTGGTGGACATTTTAGAACTAAAAATTTTGTTTAGAAATTCCGTGAGCGCATCTCATCTATATCCCATATGCAAAACTTTGTTCCATTCCGTTCACCAGTTCATGCTGTAGGATGCTGTTTATAGGGAAAGTTTAATTATAACCACCTGGTACTGTTATTTTTCTCAATACCTCAAAGGGGTGCATTAGAAACCTGAATACATACCTACAGCTCAAATTCACTGAGGACTGATATACAATTATAGCTACTTAAATGAATCCTTGATGTTTTAAATCTGTGGTTTCTTTTGGGTTTCTGTAACCAGACCATTCCCATACTAAGACTCTTAGCTGTAATTAATGTCTCGCAAAGTCTGTGCACTGTGCAACCGCTCCAAGTGGCAGACATCAAGAGAGGCAGAAGTTGAACCAGCTGGTACAAAGCCTAACACCAACCCTGATTCTGTGTACATTGTTACGGACTTTCCTGAGTAACAACCCCCCTAAATATGAGTTCTCTAACTTCAGCGCATAACAATAAGTTCTATATTTAAATTTAATTTCAGAAGTGCATTCACTTCAGAATATTGATGTACCTGCCACCATTAAATAAGTACCTTTAACTGGGCATATCATTTCTCAAATAAAGTTACATGAAAATGTATTGAATTGACAGCTTTGTTGATCATATGTCTTAACGGATTTATGCATTCTCTTACAGGCAGTCTTTTATTACAGACAAAATTTTTGTATTTTTAATTTTCTTGCCTAAATTTACTATTATGGTTACTGAAAACCCAAAGTAAACTAATATTGTTCATAGATAAAAACAAATGAACAAGTCAAAGGAAAAAATATTCTATAAATGCAAAAATTTTTTTAATTTTACATTACCTCACATTTTTCTGCATTTTCTAGCAAAATATTTTTCAATGTTGTAGTTACAAAAGCTAATATTTCTTCATCAGACTCATTAATATTTAAGCTAGAATGTGATGACTCTTCTTTCACATTTTTATCAACATCAGCATTCTCTTTGATATCAGGAGCAAAAGTAATTTTCTCAGTATTAAAAATTTTAACAGCATCAATATCACATTTTTGTTCACCTAAATATATAAATAAATGAATAAATAAATGTGACATGCTTAAATCAGAACATCAAATGTGCTTGAAGGTAATTAATAAAATGAAATACAGTAATACCATAAAAATTTCAACATAAAATTTTTCAAAGCAGCTGCTGTTACACATGCATAGACTCTGAATAAAATTTTAACTGCTGTACATAATTAAGCATAACAGTCAAATATTATAGCAGTAGAATTAGGATTTTTGTAAATGGACTATTTACTTAATTTATCCTATGGTAAATATTCTTACATAAAATTTGATTAAAACATTACAAAATAAATAATGTACACACTAGAACAATTAAAATATAGAACTAATGAGCTTCAGAATAAGTCTGACACATTCCAGACAAACTGTAAATAGAAGTTAAAAATTGCACATTTTATAAAACACCAGTTACTTAAAATTTTCCTACATATAAATATACTAGAACTTGTATTAGTTATTTTAACTGCATATATAAAATAGTCTTTCTGAAAACAATTTCAAGAGCTAAGATAAAATATTAAAATCAGATGATGTTACTTTTAAGATTTAAAAATATAAGTCTCACGAAAAACATAATCTTTCTAATTCAACGCATAACTTATTTTCAGTTTAGGTCAGATACCTTATTTTCAGTGTTTCTACAAATTTCAAAATCATTACCAACAGGAAAACTTTGCTGCTTAGTAGACTGTGGCAATTCACTCAGTGGAAAAGGAACTCGCTTAGTTAGCAAATTTCTTTTTGTTCTTTGTCCTGCAGCTTCAGTAAAACCCAGTTGAGGAGGATCATTCCAAGAGCGTGCTATGAAGAAAATAAATAAAAATAAACATGTAATTCCCACTTAAACTCTTATTTGACACAGTTGCTCAGAAACAACATGTGTTTTCACCATTTGCCAATTACGTTAAAAATATCTTTATCTGTGGACAAGGGACAAGCTCACATACATTACTAAAATTATTCTTTTCCAAGAACCTGAAAATAGTTATAAGTAGCTGGGGGGGAGTCATTTGATTATAAAAGCACGCTAATTCTGGTACTTAACAGTTAATAGGGCAGCATTTAATGACAAACATAAATATTAGCATAACTAGAGGTAGGAATGGCAGCTCTAATGATATACACAGCTTTATGAAATTCATGAAAGGGCCTCTTCTCTTACATTCTACCTCCATGGTTTATGCGAATGACTGTCAGTTGCCACAAAGCTCTCAAAAGAGTCTGAAGTCTGTTGAAAACAGGACTTTATGGAAGAGTCCTGTGAATGAAGTATTGTCGAGTTTTTTATTACGTACGGGTTCGTGGATTTGGAGTGAATAATGAGATAGCACTTGATGAAGTATCACGACACAATTTATTAGCTAATATTACTCAAAACAGTTCCAAAAATACATTTACAGTCGTCAAAATGGCAAACACGTGGAAACAATCAGCAGCACAGCTTTAAAGCAATCAGACTATTGTTGTGAAGACAGCTTTACGGCAAAGTACCACAATACAGCTCTTGACTTGGTTCAGTCGTTCTCGGAACTCTATATACTCTCGAAACTCTCCACACCACAGCTTGCGAAGCACTAGATGATACACTTGATAGCCACAACGATGCACCAACTCATGATACAGGTGAGGACAACTCGAGACTAGACTGACGATCAACTCGATGGACTAGGCACTGACTGACTGCTACTCCACGTGCAGGCAGGGTTTATACAGTAGAAATCCAGAAATTCGCAAAGCTTGGGACCAGAGGTTGTGCGGATTTTAGGACAGAAAGGATAAATCATAATATTGTTGCGTTTTTCTTTTTTGACACCAGTTGTTACGTTATTTTCTTCCTTCACGTTCGTAGATTTGGAGTGAATAATGACGGCACTTGATGAAGTATCGAAACACACTTTATCTACCAATATTAATCAGATAGCTCCAAAATCACTTTTACAGTCGTTGAACTGTTATAAACATGCTGACACGTTCAGCGACACAGCCTTCACACTGTCAGGCAATAACGGTGGAGACAGCTTCAATGCAAAGCACCCAAGTACAGCTCCCAACTCTGCTTGGTTGTTCTCGGAACTCCATGTACTCTCGAGACTCTCCACGTGATGCACTCGACGATACATAAGAGTATAGCTCTCGACTCAGCACAGTCTAAGACAAAACTCGACGATGCACTTAAAGAATCTGTCGATGCACTCGACGACCAACTCAGTGCTAGACTTACGAGACACTCGCTCAATGACTATCAGCTTGCTAGACGAGGCACACACTGACTGCAAATCAGCAGGGTTTATATAGCTTTCGGCTTGTGTTCGAGAACATTCTGCGCTAAACGGGTAAGAATTCGTTCCAGAAGGTTTTCCATCCGTCCATGGGATATTGCCAATTTTGTCACCAAATGGGCAATTTCTTGCCAAATGTGGCAACCCTAAAACAGCTTTGCGGGGAAGCTATCTCATCGCATCTCTACATTTCGTAACAATATTCAGACTAAAAGTGCAAAATAAATAAGGCACATTATTTACATTTAATTATTATATACATTATTGTAGTAACTTATATGCATTAAATTATTATTACATATATAAATTGATTATATTATTCACTGTATTATATGTACACAGCATCGGGATTTGCCCATTTCACCTTATGCAAAGATTTCCGGTTTCGGATTCCGGTGTTAGAATCACTGTTGCTGTAAAATTTTAACAACTTTTCTTTATTTTTCCTTGTATCATACACAATCGTGTCGCAATTCCATACGATTCTGCTCTAAACCGAGGAGTAGCAGCTGCAGGGCTGTGGAGTCAGTAGGGAAACTGACCGACTCAGAGTCCCTTATATAGATATACAGTCAAAAGTCGTTAATCCGGACTCGTTGGGACTTCGGCGATTCCGAATTATAGATCATCAGTTTAAATCTCGTAAGATGGCATGCAGAAATTCTAAAATTAAAAATATGAAACCGTTATTTATGAAATAAAGAACAATTATGATCTAAAGGATATCAAAATTTACAAAAAAAAACGCTTAATATTTATTTGTTTACTTTATTAAACATTTCTTTCAATGTAAGTTGTTTAAGTTGCTTCGTTTTATGTGATAATACTTTTTCTTTAATTCTATAAACAGACATAATTTCTTGTTCAGTTACAAAGTTCCGCTGTTCAAGTCCCGTTAATTGCTGTGCCGAAAATACCGACTAACTGGTCAATCGAAATTTTTTCGTTTTCACTAACCTCTCTGTCCCATTCTTCATGTCTTTATCCATTTTTTGCAGCAATTCCACTTTTTGTTTGATGGACATCGAAACATACTTTCGTTTTGTACGATCCTTTGGGAGCTCCAGAATCGGAAATTCTATTTGACATAATCAAAAGTTGAAGTTTATGTTTATAAAATTGCTCTTACAGTCTGCAAAAAATAATAAGCCGGATCCAATTCGAAGATTAAGGAACAACGCAATTATCAACATTAACTGAAATAGATAATTTTAGCTTATATACCATGCGTTATACATTAAACGCGCACGCGAAAACGTATTCTGGATTTGCGCACACGCATATGCGCAGTCATAAAGGTCTTACGCGCACGCGTAAACGCCTATGCACATGCGTCAACGCGGCGCATGCGCAGAAAGTTTTTGGCTTTGAGGTCCGGATTATAGGTCATTCTGAATTATGGGTGTCCGAATTAACGACTTTTGACTGTATATTAAATATTGTATTACTGACAAAAGTCTTTAATCCGGACTCGTTGGGACTTCGGCAATTCTGGATTATCAGTTTTTCCGGATTATAGATCATCAATTTAAATCTGGTAAGATGGCATGCAGAAAGTATAAAATTAAAAATATGAAACCGTAATTTATGAAATAAAGAGCAATTATGATCTAAAGGGTATAAAAATTTATAAAAAAAAGCTCAATATTTATTTGTTTACTTTATTAAACATTTCTTTTAACACGCGCATGTGTAAAGCATACATTACGCATAGCTAAATTAGAAAATTGCAACCAGAAAACTATTTGATGTATCTTCGTGATATTTATGATGACGAGGAATTTGATTTAAATCATATCAAAGACAGAGTACATTAAGATGAAATACTACATTTAGTAAGGAATTATAAGCCAAATAAAATAAAAACATCTGCCCTGAAGATAAGGATAGTGCTGACAGATCAACTTCCAGTTCATTGCACACCGCGATGCAGATTTCAGGTTATGGATTTTTGGTATTTGACTGTATAGCTTTTCGGGCTGCATTCAAGACCATTCTGGGCGAAACTGGTAAGAATTCGTTCTAGACAGTTCTCCAGTCATCTATGGCATATTGCCAATTTTATCACCCATTGTCATCTAATGGGCGATTTCGCACCAAATACATCAACCCTTGCCATTTTCTGGTAACCCTAAACCCACCTTGTGGAGAAGCTATCTTACTGCAGCTGGAATTTTGTAACAGTATCATTGTTGGACAGCAGGCATCCTTCTGGTGACTTCAAGCTTGTGAATGAAATAGTTCATTTTATAACAGTTTGCCTTGTGGTACCTTATACTAATGAAAGTCAAACTGAATCGTTCATTGTTATAATACGTTAACAAATTTTAGTAGACAAAGAAAAAAATCAGATTTGTAATGGAAGATGTACTTTTTAATAAATCATATATTACATAATTAAATATTTTATTTTTGTATTAAAAATTTATTACAATTTCTGATTTGTCAAGAATACAAATAAATATAAAATGCTGCAATTAGCTTTTTTGTTTGCCTTTGTATTTCAAGAATGGGTGTTTTTAATGGTATAGCTTTTCTGTTGCATTTTGAAATGTTATGCTTTCAGCATGCCTCAGTTTTGTACATATATGTATCACTGCGTGTTCACTTATAAATTCAAACTTACATATAAAAATTTCTTGGATGTCAAAAGGAAGATATTCTACTCAAATGTCAATTAAATCGAATAAATCAACATGGCGAAAGAATTTATATAAATATTTGTTTTAAAAATTTTATTATTAAGATTTGAAATAGAACAGTTTTAAAATCTACAGATAAAATATGTGCTTCTTGAAACTTTTTTGGGAAAGAAATAAATTGGTACAAAAGCTCTCAAAATTAATTGAGTGCAAGTTAAAAAACAGTTAATGTAGGGAAGGGTAACATATACTGTGGAAAAAAAAAAAAAAAAAAAAAAAAAAAAAAATTACTGTTAAAAGAATATTCAATCTTTAGAAAATAAATTAATATCCCTCCAAATGTCAGTGCAGAGAGCAGTAACATGAATTACAGTTATTCCTCACATTCCAAACTTAATTAATCCATTAGTCAGTAATAATTGTGTTTTCGCGATTGCTTTGCAAAGATTTTTTTATATAGATACTAAAAAAGGTCACCAGCAACCAAGCAGTAAAATCTATGAATACTCATAGTTTGAAGCAGGCTGATGAATAGGCTGTCTACATAGAAGTTTTCATGGATTTTTGCTGTCCATGTTTAATACGAGTTTGAACAAATTTTATTTAAAAAGTCCTTCATGAAGACTTGCCTTGACTACCAGGCTTCAATAGATTAGGTTTGGTTTGTTTTGTTAGATTACAGAAAAAGCACACGAATGCAATCTACCTAAGAGGAGGTACACTTTCGTAAAAAACTTTCCAAGGCAAACCACCTCGCAACCATGTTACATATAGTTTAAAAGAATGAAAACGCAGATACATTAAGCCCGTTTTCACAGGTTTAAATCTGGCTCAAACTAGCAGTATATTAAGAGATAGTCCTTGTGTACTTTGCCATACG